CACTTGCCCAGTCTGAGTTCTCAAACCCCGGCTCTCGCCTCTCCCTGCCTCTCCCCGGCTCTCGCCCGCCCGGAGCTGCCTTGCTCTGAGCCAGACCCATCGTCAGCCTGTTCTTATATTAAATAAACTACGTTTACTACACAGCATGTGTACAATGATTTTTGTTACTCAGAATGTTACTACTCATACAAATAATATTACTAATAACAATAATGACAATAAAACAGCAGCAGATACATGACTTCTCTTCATGACAGAGACAGACCCTCTGCTGCTGCTGCTCCTCGCCTCCTGATTGGTTGAAGCCCGCGTCAAAGCTTCAAAAGCTCAGCTTTGCTCAACTTCGGCGTCAAAGGGATTGTTGTGATACGCGAGCGTTTCGCGCGTCAAAAGCTTCAAGTGAGCGCGTAGTACGCGCGACTCTTGAAGCTTTTGACGCGCGTCAAGTGACGCCGGGGCTCTCGGCTTCACCTGACGCGCTTCACCATTCACTTTCAATGGAAACCTGACGCTTTTGACGCCGAAGTTAAGTCCGGTGTGAACGCCCCTTTAGGTTTTAATCACAAAAACGTGTCTCCCTGACCCCAGCGCGCTTTCTGTTCGATAAAAATGGGTGACTCCGAAAGGACGTTCCGCTGTTACCGTAAGTTCTCAACAAAACGCGCACCGTCTTTTCCCCGATGCGGGCCGCATGTTCATAGAGCTGAAAGATGCGGGCCACTTTACCGCGGTCTGGTTTTTCATACCCAAACCGACCACCAGTGGCGCACAATGTTTGCTAAAACAAGCAGCTGTTTCTTCCCCCTGATAGTGTAGTGGTTTAAGTTTTGCTCTGGGACTCAATCGATTATTTGGGGTTCGATCCCCAGTTTCAGACTCTATTGTGTTTGGGTTACTTTGTTGAAGATTGTTTTATGCTCTATTTACATTACTACAGTTTCATAACTGTGAAATGAAAATTAGTGTGAAAATACATACTAATATTAACTCTAGAGCGCCACCTATTGGAGGCTTTGAACCAAAAAAATAAACTGCATCAAAGTCACTGGGTCAAATCTTTACATCCATACGAGCAAAACTGTTACACTGCGCAGAGGGTACATGTTCCACAGATGACCACTAGGGGGGAACTATTGACTCCTTGCATGTGACGTCACGGCCACGCCCACTCTCCATGACAGACGGCAGAAGTCTAACTGCGAGCCTACGGACACCTGACCAAAACAACCTGTTTCAGCGCATTACAGCCAAAACTGTGACATTTTGCAGTGCGGTTGATTATACTAACAGGCAAGGACATAAGCTTTTTTATCTGATACCTGCTCGTCATGAAGACAGAAGACGACGATGGCCAGCGGCAATCAACCAAAAGGACTGGGACCCATCCAAGTACTCCCTAATATGCAGTGAACACTTTTTACAAGATAAAGCAATCACAAGTTTGTATTTATTTTATTTCCATTAATTTGGAGGACAATGACACACGTCAAACGTGTCTCTTACTACTGTCCTGTATGTGCGCTGCAACATTGACATTTTTATCTTTTAAGTCAATTGCGTGTTTCACTATTTTCCTCTCCGTCAGTATGTATCATGTTTGGCTGTAGACAGAAAAGCCACAGAAAAGTGGACTATTGCTAATGCTACCAGCAAAATGTACATATAAATCTGCTCCAGTGTGAGGGGATGCATTGTTAACGATAATGATAAATATCATGTAGGGTGAATTCGGGCAAAAATAGACATTTTATTTAATCGATAAAATTGACTGGTGGGAGAAGGTATGAGTCAACATCCAGTTAGGCAATCCTTAACTTCTCCAAATACCACTCTTTGTGAGCCCTGACCTGATGTCCTACTTCCACCTATAACGTAATCCAACATGTGCTTGAAGCAGCCACTTCTCGATTTAGGAGAGGAAGCTCCGTTTTTAAGAGTTGTGTCCGTTTTGCTCTCGCAGCAATGCTAGTTTCCAATACTTCCGCCGTAAGCTCATTCACAATCACGTGACTGGATGACGTTGATGCATCTGGTCAATAGTCTGCTCTCCTGACCACAGGCTCAGACCTACAGAGCTGAAACTCACATCACTAACAGTCGGTAATGACCTGAGCGTAATGGTGTGAAAATACACACCTTATTTGACTCTAGAGCGCCACCTATGGGGCGCTCCCGACCTAAACTTTTCCCATACTCACCAAAGTCGCACAGTCGAATCTTTACATCCATGCCAACAAAATACTACATTACAGAGTGGGTGCATGTACCAGAGATGACCACTAGGGGCACACTGAATCCTATTAATGAGCTTTTCTGTGCGTAATTCTGGTCCCATCTGGCTGCCAATTTGTCGGCAAGTACGGCAGATGCTGCTTGTGGCACTGGCGCCCAGGAGGCGGCCGCAAGAGTGGCGAGGCCTTTCATTGCCGCTTGCGGCTTTAATTTTTTATTATCATTAGTTACTCAGATACAAATGTATTGTATTTGTTTTTCAATATTACCGTTTTGCCTCCCAGGCCGACTCATGGATCTATAATAACAACGGGGCAGAGTGCTCAAGAGGAGGGGTCCTCAGAGGCACCTTACTGAGAGCGGAATGATTGAAATCAATAAACAGTACAAGATTTAAGTTGCCTTTGATAAATAAATGTAGGTGCACTGTATTAATTCCGTAGGAATTGTAGGATTAGGAATTTTGGTGGTATGATCAGCAGTAATCTCCATACACTTACAGGTAAAACTCAGAAAATTTGAATACCGTTCAAAAGTGTATTTATTTATCTATACATCTGTAATTGTGATGATGCTGAGATTTGGCTCACAGTTTGTAAAAACCCAAAAATAAAAAATACTAATAAACATAGGGAAATTACAATATTTTGAAAATGGACTGTGAGTCATTTCATAATAATCATTCTAATTATATCAAGCACGGGTTTGGCATAGGCCACTTTGCATTTCATGAATCTTTAAACTGTAACAAGAGCATCTTATTATGTCCAGCCTTTGTGGCTGTGATCCTGCACAGTCTTACACACTATTATACCAGAATGATAAAGACCCACTCCTCTGCTCTGCTCCCAAAGGTTCATGGGAAATGTGAATACAGCAGATACATAGTGTTTGAGTGTCTGTTGTCATAGTAACAGAGTGATGTGCATGACAAGTTCAGTACGTCACAAAAATGAGTTATTTCAACTTCTCGTTCAGTAAATGCACATAATCCCGGGGGCCTCCTCCGGGAACATCTTTACCCGAGCTCCAAGTCAATTGAATTCATTTCTGTACAGCCCCAAATCACAGTCGTCTCGAAAGGAATTCACAATTGTTATACAACTACGAATATCCTTCTGTGTTGTATTTTTTTCAGTGACAATAAGTAGCTTCAATTTCATCATGTAACACTATTTCTCTGTGGCACAACTGGCTACTTCTTTTGAGACTGAGACACTTGAACATCCTCTAGTTCAGTGGAAAATGCTTTGCCCACACTTATAAAACGCGATGCTTTACAACAGGCTACTGCCCTCTTGTGGCTATAAATTGAACTGAGGCAGTTCAGCTCTGTGGCAATTACTAAATGGCAATAACTTCTGGGCCATATGCAGATATATTGTAATTCTTTGGGTGGAAAATTTACTGAACGATATGTCATTAATTTGCTCGCGCATGATACAGTTAAAGCAACTTGTGCTGTATGATACTGGCCTATTATGCCTAATAGTCATTGTCAAGTCTGATTCCACCAATCGGACACATCTGTGTTTCTGTGTTTCTCGCTGTTTTTTTGTTATTTTTCCTAATTCTACGCTGTTCAGTGTGGGGTCAAATACAGACAAGGACCAAGACCTATACAGAAGAAGGGTTTAGATTTAGCTCACTTAAAAGATATTTCACTTGAAATATTGCATTGTAAAAAACAATAAATCCACAACTCAAATATACATATTTCAATGTGATGGCTCTTCTCCCGGAGTAGTTGGGTGTAAAATATGAGACCAGTTTCACCTCAGTCAAAGGTGAAACTTCCCTGACCCTCCTCATGAGAACCATCTAAACAAAAACAAATAAGCTGTAACCAGAGTGGACTCAATTTGTAAAGCAGTTCAGAGTAAATAGAACTTAAACGTGTACATATATACACGTGTAAATAAATGGTCCATGTGTGCATCTTCAAAAGTATACACTGGAATGGGCTTTTACCAGATATTACTGTGTGGTTGCCACAAACACAATTTTTTTTCATTACAAACAGAAAACATTAATACATTAGGGGATTTGAACCTGCAAGGGCCAATTCTGACTGAAGTTCTCAGGCCTTTGTAATGTCACAAATACTGTGAGAATTCACCATTCGGGAAAGGCAATGATTTTTGGCTCTTAAGACAAAAGATGTGCAATGATTTTTATTGAGTTATGTTTGCATGAAGTACATTGGTTACAACATGATTACACGATTAGACGTCAGTGATTGGTAAATGATTAGTATGGATTGATTGCATTTTGATAAATTAAATGTTGGATGGTTTGGCAATCATAGCTGATGAGGAGGAGGAGGGTTGCTGTGCGAACAGCAGCTTGATGCAGAGACTGTTAGACACTATTGTTCAGCCATGAAGGTGATGCTGATGAGCAAGTGACCAGTCTGAATTTTCACTTACCAGTAGCTCAAGTGACCTTTTCTATGCCTTACTGTTCGCACCGGTCTAGTGTTTTAATATGTGACGCTTGATAGAAAAAGTTTATTATTGAATGTGTTTGAGAAGGGGTTTATATTTTAAATAGGAAACCAATTTGAGAAATAATTGTTGAAGGACTGCAATTTTCACTTGAGTGCACCTTTTTGTCATCTCTCTGTGTGGCCCAATGTGGTAGACTCACCTCTGCCCCTCAGAGTCCTGCGTCACTGTTAAAGCCTTCTCATGGCCACAAGCGCGTTCTGACTATCCGTTAAAACACCGCTAACACTCTGGATGCTGGGGGGATGTAATAGATGCACGATGCTGGCCTGCTGTGTGGGAAAAAGCCCCATCACAGGGTTAAAGGTACAGCCTCATGCGTCAGCTGATGCGCAACGTCACGTAAGGAGCGGGCCGGAGATGGGCGGGAACACACCGGCTTGGCTCTGCCTCTGTACCATCCGTGCGTCTGCGGCACTGAGCAGCTTCCCAAGCCGCCGAGAAGCTGCCACCCTCCGCCCTGTCTGCAGTCCATCCCCTATCCTTCAGTCCCGATCATGCTTCTGTCCCCCCGGAGACCCGCAGTAGCGATGCAAGCCCGAGGAGCTCGCTTTGGACACCCAGCGCGCACGGCTCTCTCCTCCTGACAGCATCCTGACAGCCATTTTCTGCCCCGTTCAGACACCGGTAGAGAGCTGTCACGCACCATAGCGGCCCGGGCCTGACTCTGCATCCACGTTATCAGCTCATCCACCCTCCAGAGAGAGTTATGGAGGGCTCGCAGTCTACGCTGAAGGACGAACCGCTGCCTTTGCCCACCCTCAGCCCAGCAGTGCCCCCTTACGTGACTATAGGCCTGACTGTGGTCTATACTATCTTCTATTCGCTGCTTTTCGTCTTCGTTTACGTGCAGCTCTGGTTGGTGCTTAAATACAGACATAAGAGGCTGAGTTATCAAACCGTGTTCTTGTTCCTCTGCTTGATGTGGTCGGCTTTACGCACGGTCCTCTTCTCGTTTTACTTCAAAAACTTTGTGACAGCGAACACTTTGGGGCCATTCCCCTTCTGGCTGCTGTACTGCTTTCCCGTATGCCTCCAGTTCTTCACACTTAGCCTCATGAATCTATATTTTGCAAAGGTAAGTTGGTACAATACGTTTATTCAGATATCCAACGATTTCACGAACGCCCTGCACAATAGCTCACTCATCATTTCCGGATTATACTTTCATTTTAACACAGATTATTCGATTGTCATTCTATCTACATTGTATTTGTCCAATATGCAATCTCAAGGCCACAATAATGTATGAATATTATGTAATACCCTATTTGATTAATATGTATAAATACATTATGGCAAAAAATGGACATTATGACTGCATGTGCACGGTAAAACATTGTGAAACTGCAACTTTACTTCTTGCCTAGCTTGTGTACGTTATACCTCATTAATACAAAGTTAATTTTTAAGCTAAACCTGGGTTTATCCAAAAAGCTGTTACATAACCACAATGCCCTCTTGAATCAATGAAGTGGGTTACATACATGACTCTTATTGGATTGCAATGTTTTAATGCAATGCAAAACAGACACAAAAGCTTTACAAGAGCTTTTTCTTTCCCGTAGTGCAAAACATATATATATCATTATAGATTATATGAATAAAACTACAACCACTATAATTATTATCATACGACCAATGAGGAAATTAAATGATACATGTATGTCTAACTATTGGTCTTAAGCTGTATCAATTATCTTCTTTAACATGGTGAGTTTAAGGCAGGACTACAAGACAAGAAAATGTATGCATGATTTATGGTCAAGCGTAAGATGGTCGTGACACGTTTATGTTCAGTAAAGTGTAATTACCCTTCTATGCACACATCTCTAACATGGACACACACGTCTCTAACATGAACACACACACACATGCACCTTATTTTACATTAGCGTTATGCAATATGGGTACATGTTGTAGCACGCGAGGTTGTTCAAACATTGGATTCATAATGTGAAACACTTTAGCACAATACCCGGGCCATTTGGTTTCAAACTGGTTTCATAAGGATGTGACTTGCCGTGCCACAAAATATGGCGAGAGAAAATTGCAACCTGATTGTGCGCACATACAGTAAAACTTGAGATGTTTTCTGAACACTGACCCCTTTGATGGAGAGTCAAAGGGGTCAGTGTTGGTTTGTTTTTTTCGCTCAAATTCAGTATCTGATTTCTTATCCGTGTTTATGTGTCAATTTATCTCTGGCTCTTCCTGTTTAAGACACCAATTCAATACAATATAGGGAACTGGTATCAACCTTGCTGACGTGCAAACAAACACTAAAAGCACATTGTTTTGAAAAAAAATAAAATAATAATAATAATGCATCGGTTTTATATAGCGCTTTTTTGGACACTCAAAGACGCTTCACATGTGTCATTATTCATTCACTCCATACACGGTGGTGATAAACTACTACTGTAGCCACAGCTGCCCTGGGGCACACTGACAGAAGCGAGGCAACCAGTATGCGCCATCAGCCCCTCCGACCACCACGAACTATTCACACACACACCAGACTCATTCCAGGCAATGGGGGTAAAGTGTCTTGCCTAAGGACACAACGGCAGTTTGGCACTTTACAGCCGCCCCACTGTGGCTGGTGTTCCCAGAGGTTAAGTGTCTTGCCAAGGACACAACAACAGCAGACAGTGGGAGTCGATGGTGAAAGTCTTGAGCGGGGCTTGAACCCACGACCTTCTGGCTCAACGCTCTACCAACTGAGCTACTGCCGCCCCTGAAAATGAGTTTTAGTCTGTAGTATTGACATTATCAACCAATCAATCCAGATGTTTTGTTCAGAACATCAACAACAAACGCTTATAAGCTTCCAACTCCTCACTCATTCAACACAGAGAATACAATTTAGGAAAAAAACTCTCTGACCCTACACTCTTTGGCACCGCTGGCCCTGTGCTGAAGGTGTCACTCTTTTTCTTCCACGTTCTTCCTCATTACTTACTTTTATAAACGTTTTTTAAAAATGCAATCAGGTTTGAGTCAAGTTTTTAATTCATCTGCTAATTCGTTCCGCAACAGCAGGATGTTGACAATTTGGCTGATTCACAGTTTGCCCTGATTTGTTGTAATATTAAACAATTGTGCTGTAACACATAGTTCTTGTTGTTCTACTAAAAAAAAAAAAAAAATTAAATACAATTCCAATTTGATTAAAATGTTATCATATTTGTATTAGTCACAACAGCAAGGCAATTATGAGGATTTTGGCAGAAACAAATCCATTCTGATTTTATGATCTCTTGTTTTTCTCCGTTCATTGCACTAATCTAGCATTTCCTGAAAAAATACAGCCACGAAATGGTTTTATCGAAAGAGCTGCATTAGTACACGGCCCTCGTCATCAAGGTAGGGCTGTATAAGTGGTACAAGAACTATTGATATTTGCGGAAAAAGGTCACTTGTATTCAGTTTCGTCCAAAATAAATGTTCGAAAATATTACATATCCGATCAATGAATATTCTGAATGAAAAAGGCCAGGTTCTATAAACAGAGCTCTTCTGGGTAGTGCTCTGCTACGAGGGGGTGAATCATTCTTCGGAAGCTTACATAACTCTCATGGAATAATAGCGGCGCTGTGGGTTTGAGTCACTGCCGACAGACATTTAACATATACATTTGTCTGTAACGTATGCACTTACTGTAAAGATGCATCTTTTTTCCGGTTATCGAATGAGCACAGTGCAGGTTTTAGAGAAGCAAAACAGAGAAGTGAAACTGCTGCGGCCTCACAATGGAAAATGGAGGCAGGGCAAGTTTATATGTATACCGCAATTCACACTCAAGGCAACTCAAAGTGATTCATTATGCATTTGTTTTGCAGGTTGTTTTTAAGGCAAAGTCAAAGTATTCCCCAGAGCTGCTGAGATACAGGTAAACGATGTGTGCTGTAATATGTAGTGGTTCTCAAACTGTGGTGTAAATGATGCAGGAGACACTATGATTATGGGAACTACTGATTGTTCTATTGTAAAATATGTACAATAGGTAATATTCTTCAGCTCTGGTTATGACCGAGCTGAGCATTGACTTGAATTTCAATGGAATCAAGTGCAAAAATAAATAAATAAACCCATCTCAATGAGGAAAACATGAGTAACAATTTATATTTGTATTTTTGAATGTGGAAAATATCTTGAAAAGTTGCACTGGACAGGAAGCTGGAGAAAACACGACTCATATTTGCAATAAATATAGGAAACTAAATTGGAATTGATGCTTGTGAAACTATTGTGGACTCTTCCACTTCCTCAAGTGTACTAAACGAATAACAAGGCACGTTTATTTGTATAGCACAAAGGCATACCCAAAGTGCTTTACCAAACAAGAAATTAAACATCAAAATTGTGCATGTAAACAGTAGCCTTAATCTGAGGGCTTTGAAACTTCTGTTCCCATGTTCTATTATAAATATATTTCTATTCCTCAGTGATCCTTAAGCACATTAAACATAGTTATGTTTTCTATCAATATTTATAGTTGTCTTAATCATTTTCTTGCTATCGTTATCTTGCTTCAGTGCTCGTTTCATTCCCACTGTCCTGTAATGTGCAGTAATGTGCAATTACATTGAATATTGACATGTTCCCACTGTTGGAGTTTAGCAGTTAAAACAGTTATATTGAAACTCTATAGTTAATGTCCAGACACAAAAGTAAAACCTAAAATTAGATTAGATAACCCCATTTCTGACCATTTGAGATGAAAAAAAAACCCCAAAAGAAAATAAAGGGTATAAGATATAGACGTAAGTTACTATTGCCAACGTCTTCATATTTCAATTCAATTCAATTTTTATTTGTCTTTCCCTAAATTACAACATCAGTCATCTCAGAGGAATTTATAAAGTTGTCAATTCGAACACAGTAAATGCAATAATAACAAACACATAGGAGGCATTGGTCCATAGGGCACGGATGACCAATGTCCATAAATATGAATAAATGTCAATATTAATTCATCTGTAAATAGTAAATACTGCAATTTACAGCTCGCTAAGAAACATAGCGCCTCCTTATATTGTATATTGTGTGTGCTCTTACTACTGTCCTGTATGTGCGCTGCAATATTGACATTTCCTGACTGTGGGTCGAATAAAGATTCTCTTATCTTTATGTCCTTAAATGTCCTGAATCATCAGCACTGTCCTTAGATTCACCTGCATCTGCAAAGAACCACTCAAATCCCAGTGAAAGAATGAGTTCTTATAATGATTATGGCAACAGGTGTGATACTGCTACACACTAGTAATGCAACAAACAAATGAGGGAATGAAAGGTAAAACATTGAGAACCAACATTTTATTTCAAAACGCTTCAAAAGCTTAAGGAGGATAAAACTATTTCCTAACGGGGCTGTGGCCGTGCTGTGGTTACAGGCTGCCTCTGCACCTGGCCTTCCTGCTCATCAGCCTGGTGTTCGTGGTGGTGAACCTGGTGTGTGCGCTGCTGGTGAGGATGTCCTCCGCCGACACGCACACCGTGGTCCTGGTGCGCGTCGCCATCAACGACTCTCTCTTCGTGCTCTGCGCAGTCTCTCTGGCCGTGTGTCTCTATAAGATCGCAAAGATGTCCCTGGCCAATATCTACCTGGAGTCGAAGGTACTGTTCTGTCTACAAACACACGTTCCTTTATGCGTCTCTGTTTTATACCACTTTATTTGTTGTGCAGGGAACATCCGTGTGTCAAGTGACCGCCATCGGAGCCATCGTCATCCTTCTGTACGCGTCCAGGGCCTGTTACAATCTGGTCGTGTTGGGCCTTTCCAACAAGAAGATCAACTCCTTCGACTACGACTGGTACAACGTGTCGGATCAGGTACAAGCTTTAGAACACAAATAATTTAAGTTATTTCATTGCTGTTGGTGAGTCCAGGACTGAGGCTGAGTCCAGGACAGGCTGTAGTCCAGGTTCTAAGGTTGTAGTTTGAGTCCAGGACTGAGGCTGTAGTCCAAGTTCTGAGACTGTAGCTGAGTCCAGGACTGAGGCTGTAGTCCAAGTTCTGAGACTGTAGCTGAGTCCAGGACTGAGGCTGTAGTCCAGGTTCTGAGACTGTAGCTGAGTCCAGGACTGAGTCTGTAGTCCAAGTTCTGAGACTGTAGCTGAGTCCAGGACTGAGGCTGTAGTCCAGGTTTTGAGACTGTAGCTGAGTCCAGGACTGAGGCTGTAGTCCAGGTTCTGAGACTGTAGCTGAGTCCAGGACTGAGGCTGTAGTCCAGGTTCTGAGACTGTAGCTGAGTCCAGGACTGAGGCTGTAGTCCAGGTTCTGAGACTGTAGCTGAGTCCAGGACTGAGGCTGTAGTCCAGGTTCTAAGGTTGTAGTTTGAGTCCAGGACTGAGGCTGTAGTCCAGGTTCTGAGACTGTAGCTGAGTCCAGGACTGAGGCTGTAGTCCAGGTTCTGAGACTGTAGCTGAGTCCAGGACTGAGGCTGTAGTCCAGGTTCTGAGACTGTAGCTGAGTCCAGGACTGAGGCTGTAGTCCAGGTTCTAAGGTTGTAGTTTGAGTCCAGGACTGAGGCTGTAGTCCAGGTTCTGAGACTGTAGCTGAGTCCAGGACTGAGGCTGTAGTCCAAGTTCTGAGACTGTAGCTGAGTCCAGGACTGAGGCTGTAGTCCAAGTTCTGACTGTAGCTGAGTCCAGGACTGACACACATCTATTTACAGACAGTGTTCAAGTATGAAAGAGTCAGTTCGACTCATCCTGGGTTGGGAGAGGACACTGAGGGAGGCGGGGGATGCGACCCCTGTGTCTCCTGGCCGTGGGGAGTTCAGGGCTCAGGTGAAATATCAATGAACAGAAAAGTCTTAATGATGACTTTAGAGGATAGTTCTCCTGTTATCATACTTCCCCCAGCAAAGTTCACTTATTTAAATGCCTCCACTGAAGTTAAATAAGAGTAACCCAAATCTATCTCTCGATCATTGAAACACGATACAGTAAACTCTTTGACCGCCAGCCATTTTTGATGACTTCACTGAATTTCAAGACTCACAGAAGATTGTGTGCTAAGACTATGAAACCAGATTCTGAAAGACTGGACTGTCTACTTTGAGCAGCAAAAAGAATTCGGTTTCGAGCTTGTTTCATTCAAAAAACGTTAACATTCACACATTGAAAGTAGAGCTCATGACAAACTGTGGCAGAAAGAATGGCCAATATTCATCCATTAGGTGGCGCTATAAATATGTCAATAACAGTAAGTCACAGAATAGCAAAATTACTATGAGAAACAATATAAATAACAATAAATCAAAGTGAACAGACTATATACTATTAGAATACTGTTTGTCTTTGTGTGTTTGTGCGCGCATGTACGTGGGTTTGTGTGCACGTGTGTGTGTTTGTGTGGTTAAATCTACAGAGTGTCATTCTGTTTAGTGTATAATCTTTCACTGTCTCATGTGTTTTTCCCACATATACTATAATTAAAAGCCGGTCACTTAGTAATCCCTCGATTCTTTTGTTTTTTTTCCGTCCCACAGGCAGATTTGCAGTCCACACTGGGAGACACAGGCTACATCGTGTTTGGAGTGGTGCTGTTTGTCTGGGAGCTGCTGCCCACGTCTCTCGTAGTGTATTTCTTCAGAGTTCGGAAACCCACTCAAGACCGGGTGAGCTGGATTCTACATTACATTAGTCAATAGTGCAAAAACGGCAAATTAAATTACGCAATATGAGGAAATGTCAAAGATGTGTAAGCAACTGTAAATGCTTAACAATTCAAATGTATTTTTCTACTGCCTAAAATTGCCAGGACTATTTAACAGTGACATGCAGAGCGTCCACAGCCGTCTAATTTGATCGCAAAGCTTTCACAATTTAAGTAAATGTGTCCCTCCTGCAAAAGACCCTTGTTATTTTGTTTGGGAGGTTGTGCCTGTAGATATAAGCAATAATTGCAAAAAAACATGCAAAGAATGACTTGTTTGATATTTTTCCATGGGCGCTGTGATTAGTGCTTGTGCTTCACATCAAGAAGTTCCTGGGTTTGATTCTACATCTAGGATTTTCTGTGTGGAGTGTCTGTGTAGGTTTCCTTCGGGTGCTCGGGTTCCCCTACCACTAAAAACATGTAGTTCAGGGTGAGTGTGTGTTTGTTAGTGCAAGTGTGGGACAACGGATGCAAATTAGCCCAAAGCCACAATCCGGCCAAACAAACAATAGATAAAATATGTAATTATGTTTTATGCTAAAATATGTTGAAACATCCTGTCAAATTTTATGCTGAATGATACAATTTTCAAACCACAACCAACTGAAAAAATAGAGGACCACCCTCACTGACCCAAGCCTCTTTCTTACGAGTATCCAAAATATATAGTATAGGTATATTTCATCCCAGAACTTGCCATAGATTTTCATGCCTTTACTCACCGTCATGACTTGTCCTTGTGTTTCAGAGCGGCACAGGGCTCCCGAGTCACGTTTTCTCCACTCGCTCTTATTTCTTTGACAACCCGCGACGTTACGACAGCGACGACGACTTGGCCTGGAGCGTCATGCCTCAGAACATACAGGCCAGGTAACAGCTAAACTACACTTTTTCATATATCATCGTTGGATAAAGCAGTTAGAATAGCTCCTCTATGGAAGCTGTAACAAGGATGATAAATATATCTTTAACATTTAACTGATAATTGGAGCTAAATACTATTATGTTTAGGATAAAAAAACGTAAATGAAATTGTCAGTGAAATTTAAACCAAATACACTTTGTTTATAAGGCACTCTTCCTTTTAAAAAATAAAAAATCCAAGGTTCTGAACTGCACAGGTAATGATTGGGAAAAATGCCAGATTCTAAACTGTTATTTTATACAATTCTATCGTGTTTCACAAATATAGAATCTATATGCCATGAGTTTCTATTCATTTTGTTTTTACACAACATTCCAATGTCTTGATATGTACTTAGTCTTAGTTGGATGTCATCTCTTTATTGTACACTTGGTGGCGCTGTTAGCAGCTTTAAATACTGTATACGACCAAGGGAGAAACTGGAACCTCTTATTTAACTGCAACTATGATTGTATTTGCAGTACTATAGAATCATGGGATGACACTGTATTTGAAACTAAGAGACCATTTCATAAAACAGAAGAACAGGTGGAGAATTGTGCATTTCAGAGAAATGAAAACAAAAGTAAAGTTCATAAGTTTCTTTGGTTGATGTGGACCCTCCAATGTGGGTCTAAATTTCAATTTGACTTTCAGGCCTTTCTACACTTAAGCTGTATATATCTTTGAGTGTAATCCAACAGTCTTAAACATGATAAATGTGAAAGACGTTTTTGTCTAATTTCAAGTGCAGTTGAAATACTTTGATTTTGAGTTTTGAAGATCCTCGTTTATTTAGAGGAAGAAAAAGGACAAATTATATTGGTTTAAATAAGGCATATTATTGTGGTGTAATGAAAACTTCTTACATGTTCTAAAATGTGTCAGATATTAGATAAACAGTCCAATATAGTCTTTGTAAGGGCACGTTCACAAGCCTTGGTTCAAAAGAAAATGATCAGTTTCAAAAGAAGTGAACAGATTTATGCAGCTAGTGGACCAATTATGAAGATTTTTAGGGATCCAAGTGAATAACATTTTTAATCTGAAAAACGAGATACAGGTAGACTTCAGGGTTTAGTTTGAAGACCGTAGCGCCCACTAGATGCAGCTGTGGGAGGTGACGCAAGAGTGACATCAGAGAAAGTGTGCATTTGTTTTAGTACTTTCACATCTCCACAAATCTCTCCATAAATGAAGCCTGAGGTGAACCAGACTGGATCATGACCTCTCTCCCCTTTGTGTCTGCAGCCTGGTGTCGGACAGTTACGAATGGGGCAGTCAGAGCAGCGGGATTACGGCGTACATCGGGGTAGAAGACTCGTTCCAGCTTCCCCCGTCCCTGGAGGAGCTCAGCCATTACTGATAAACCACTGTTACGTTGAAGTGAATTTGCACACTCTCTTCTTGACTTCTGACTGAGGCACATGGGCTCGCCGCGCCCCTAACCTGTTGCATCACAAAACTGTTTATAGGACTTTCTTTGCCAGTTTAAAAAGTCCGTAAAAAGGACGTTATTTGCACACTCCTTGTGACATATATAACCTAATTTTGCTCTTAAACGTGTCATTGTATAGTTCATATTGAATATCTAATATAATTCTTGACCGTTGGAATATGTACTGTATCATTACTATTTTATGTATAGTCAATGTACATGTGTCTTTCATACCAATGTATTTATACTGTAGGAGAGTTAGTTACATAAAATAATTGGTAAAAAGTTACAACCACCATTTTCAATTATCCACGGATTTTAGATAAGTGACGTCTAATTTAAGATTTAATCAATTTCACTCTAGTGATTATAAAAACTATGTATTGTATAGGTAGTTGTAGAGATTGGTGCAATACTCTTAATGGAATGATTGAACTGACATGTGCACTGAAATTATTATGCTATCGGTAAAATTATCGGTAATAATATTTTTCTTACATGATTCAATAAATAAAGATATATATTTGGTCGAAACCAGGTAATAGTGGTTTGTAATAGATGTAATGTGTGATCATGCCCAGCAGGTGGCAGCAAGACATAGTGTTTGAAAACTCTTGAGGTTTGGGGTCATTAAAAATGGCCATGGTTTAGACTGTATTTTGGATATATTTCACGTTTTAAATGGCTGTTGCAGATATTTGCCTTTTTAACGTTTTAAAGACCTGGGGGGGAGATTCAAGAGTTCAAATGATAGACATACTTTATGTTTGCAATGCGTATTATAAGGATACTTGATGTTTAGAAGACCTTTATGCTTGTGCAATTATGCTACTGTATGAATCAAAGTCAAACTGAAATGAAATGAAACATTACACATTTATCAAAGTGACCTTAAACTTTTGAGCAGTAAAAAAACAACATTCACATTGCATTGAGAAAGGGGTGAAGGACAGTCATGTTATAATCATCTCTGGTACAAAATAAAAATTCAATAACTCCAAACACAAGCCACTTTCTGTCAGAAATGGGATTTTATTCTCGATCATTGCTTGTTATTGCAAACAGGAGCACATTTTGCCAAACATTAGCTTATGGCAGCAAATTCCATGTGAAGAGCATTATGGATTTAATCATATGCAAAACACTGTACCTTTAAGGAATAAACTGCAAAGTCCAAGATGCATGCACTAAAATGCATTTGAGTTGAACTGACGCTTGTGTACAAACATACACAATCCCTTTCAGCTTATTGTTTTTGTGACATTCAAAGTCAGCTGAGAATGAGTAGAAATTGTGGCGTGTTGTCCATAAACACTGGACAGTTTTAGAAACTGTAAAACTCACACCGTCACACGCGCACACGCTCTGCTTAGGCCACTTTCTTCACACAGTGCACTTAATGGCTGATTTAAGGAGGATCCTTTCAGGCCTCCTATTAGCTGGCATCTGACGATTTGCCAAGTTCCACTTTTACGCCTTTTTCGCCCGCCGCTGCAAGACACAAAGGAAAATAGTGTTTAATATTTCAAATCAGAACTGCTCAAGATTTTAATTACATGTATTTCTCTAGTCATTCTTAAAACTTTAAAGCCAAAGGTCAATTGTACTGCATTACAATTAATCTCACTAGTTCTAAGCTCTAAAAACAGTTCAGAAAAGTGAAAGAGAAGCCCACTCGTGCTCAGCCAATCAACTCTCAGCATCAAAGAGTGATTCGTGGAATTCTTTCTGACAAGCATGGAAAAGACTAAATGTTTTCCTATAAGATAAACTTGACCTTTTACAATATATTTGTACATGTTGTTGTTGGGAAAAACAAAACACATCATCCATGGAACAAGTACCCCAACTTTAACTACTAATTGTTGTTAAAGTCAGAACAAACAGAATAATAAATATTCTGTTTCTGTGGCTCAAATGGGTAAAGTCAGTTCTCCAAAATACATTATATAGAACCTTTTGTTAATACCAAGACTCGCATAGAAACAATACACTAAAATATTAATGAATAAATAAGCCATTTGTAAATTATTAATTGCACATACAGTATAGAGATGCTGATTCAAAACTAAATGCATTACAAAAGAATGTTATATTTCAAAACAGGAATGTAGCACTTTATAAAAACATAATAATATAGACAGGGCTGTTCCGGATATTCAAACTAACCTCTAGCCTCTACATTTGAGCCATGTGTTCAGCTGTTTAATAAAGCCTACAACATATCCATAACAGTAAGTACAATCAATGCAACCCAGTCCATTACACCACTAATTATTATACAAAATCAACATGTCCGGGCCCAGCGGCTCTGATTGTCACTGACCAAAGGGACATTTGTTCACCAACACTCGGCTGCAGCAGTGAATAAGAGTACAAACCATCCAAGGCCACGGATTGTCAATATTTTCATACCATCACACCTCATCTATAGACTAAATAGCTCAATTCATCCATTAGTTTTAGAGCTATCAAGCCGACAGACAGACAGACGCGCACGCACACACACACAGACGGCTTGGTGATAATCTCCAGACTCAACATCAGCTGTCCACGCGATCACATCCCTTTGCTCCGCCATAAAACCAACACATCATTCCAAAAATCCTTTTAATTCAGCCCAAACCAGTGTGTCTGTCTCTAGGGTACTTTTTATATGCAAAATAACCATGTGTTGCAATGGGTTTCACTTCTAAAAATATACAAATATTCTTTCCTCTGCATACTGTCATAATAAGCTAGATCTGGCTTGAGGTACTTGAAAGCTTTTATTTTGAGGGGTAAAGCGTATGGTGGGATGCCTTGTTGCTCCATACTGTTGGTAAGGGACCATCTGAACGTCCTATGCTAAAGGAAGCTATGAAAAGGAGCATAAGAGAGTGTACAATTTGGAGGGGGCTAAGTGATACATGTCCGGTTATGGCATAATAATAACACTGGGTAACAAAAAAAGATTTTTTGAAAATAGTCCAGGGTTTTCCAGCTGAATTAGACTAATTTTGATGCTCTGAGTCCGAAAATGACCTTGGTTTTGCTCAATCAGGTCAGGATTTTTTGCTACAGAAATATTTTTTTAAATTTCTGCGGATCATCAGCTGAGAAACCCTTGACGTTTTTTCCGTTTTCCTCAAGAAATAAAAGTCAACGTATCCAAAGTCATTCAGTTTTTATTTACTCAATCAAATTTGATAAGTAGAATTCATAATAACGTAGACGTACATAATCCGTAACACTATGGCTGTATCTCAAAAAGTTGACCTGATAGAGCAAAATGCATGTGATATTCGGACTCAGAACACCAAAATTAGTCTAAATCAGTTGAGAAACCCCTGACCATTTTTTGGCTGTCAACTTGTGTAATAATAATAATAATAATATCACCATTTTCGGACCCAGCCACTGTGCATGAAATTGATCACTTTAAAAAAAATCTTACCTGTTAAATACTTTACTTTTGCTCTGGCTCGCTCATCTGCATCAAAATACCACACTGTGATGGCATACCTGTGGACAAAGTGATCACAAGTTACACAATCGCACTTTCAAAATGACAAAGATGGTGTTAGTGTGACTCGTACCTGGTGGCGTAGGCGGGCTGGACCTCGTGTGGATTCCGCCGGTCGGACCAGAACAGCAGCAGTCGGTCAAACCTGGGCTCGATATCGGCGAACTGAGATTTTCCTTCAGGGAAGATTCGGAGCAGACCCCCGTGTTTCTGAAGAATAAACAACAAATTCAGACAAAAGTAAAAGGTAATTCAATCAGAACGTAAGGAGCCACTGAGCAGGTTTCATACTAGTCTGTGTTTTCCCCCTTTTACTTGATCAAAAAATACAAAATAAGAAAAGTACTGTTAATAATAATAACAATAATAATAATAAAAGATCGGTTTTATATAGCGCTTTTCAGGACACTCAAAGACGCTTCACTTGTCATTATTCTTCCATTCCATACACAATGGTGATAATCTACTACTGTAGCCACGGCTGCCCTGGGGCACACTGACAATACACTCATCTATAATCTAAGCCTTTTCCAAGGTTTCCAGAAAAAAAGAACAAATCTGGCAATACCTTTTTGAGTTATCTTGCAAACAGACAGACTTGGGAAAAACATAACTTCCATGACTGAGGTAATAATACATTAGTCAAAGAGTCCTTTGTCGTGATAAGCTCATAATGAGGCCACAGTTGCTCCGATGGTGACTGACGAAAGCGACATTACTCAAAGAGAGGATAGAGTGAAGTCTTTCCTAAGAACACAACAATAGTTTGCACTAAAGTCACTAATGTACCTGATATTCCCAACAGTCCCCCAACTTGGCCCCCGCCGCTGCGCCTTAGAAATCAGAGAGGTTTGGCCATGAGAAAGGTGGCATAATGGCCTCAGTGTTCATTACCGAGGGGATGCGTATAGACCAGGGTTTGTCTTTCTGTAAGCAAGATATCTCAGTCATAGCCAAATTTGTTCATGACATTTTCATGACAAGGAACAGACAATTCGATTGCGGAAGTGATCCAGATTACGGTCTGGATCCAGGACATTTTCTTATTTTCATGCAAGTTTTAATTTAGTATCATCACTATGGAAAGATTTTAACAAAATGTGAATAAAATATGTTTTCCAAATGTATAACTAAAGCAATATAGGACAGTTATGCACTGGTACATAATCGTATTGTTTTTGAGTTGCTTACTTGTATTGGACACGCATTAAGGGTCCAATGAAAATTCTCCAGCGTTAGACCCACCTGTTATTACTGTATTCTTACAATCAATATTTACGATACCGACATATTGACCGTGCTAACATCACATGTGTTTGTTTTGGATGCATGGTCATTTGAACAATAGGGAGAGGAGCTGCGAGTGATCAAACGCCTCCAATGGCTTCAAATCTACAATCGGTCCATATCACGCCAGATGTGTTCTGCTTTGCTTTGTTCAATTATTAGCTTCAGAGGACGACAATGCGGGGAGGAAGAAGGTTTGTCCCACTGCAGGGGCCGTGAGGAAAGCCCATGATAGGAAACCGCAGCGGGGGACAGCCTTCCTGTGCCTGGATAGGAAGAATAACCTACAGGAAAACTGCTGCTCCAGGATAAAGGGCTGGAGAGTGGAAAAGCAGATTGCCGCAGAGTGTGGCGGTCAAACTCCAGTGCGGCTGATACGAGAGGTCTGGCTTCACACGCAACACGCTGCCGTTCACACCCACAGATGCAGACGACCAAGGCTAAACACGGAGCAGGGGGAATAACGTGACACAGACCACAATAGAGACACGGCAGAGGTCATTGTTTGAAGGGATTACGCTCAGATGCTAAAGATGTGAAAAGCACATGTTCCAGTTGACGGCCAATATTCCTCTAATTACCGGATCTATTCACGAGAATCAAACAAAGTTCAATGTCATGTCAGCTCAGCAACCTGACCTATTATGCAGATGCATGCATGTATTTTTTGTCAGCAGCAATTATCAATAATTAAAGAAACAGGTTGCATTTTGGAAAGCACAATCATCATCAACATTCCGTCATAGGAGTTTTTCCCACAGCCAAGCCTTAAAGCAGGGGTCTCTAACTTTTTTCCATTGGCGAGCAACTTTTACACAACAGAAACAGCGGAGAGCAACTCCTTTTTTGCAGAAGTAGTCTAACTGCGGCAAATAATGGCAAACTCACATGTAAAATATAACATAACCCTACATTAGTGAACATCATGATGTGTATCATTCAGGATCATAGAGACCCCTGCTTTAAACAAAGCACTGTAAAACCAGTCATTAACATCTTAAAAACATATATATATATATATAAATAAATAAAAATACAAAGAGTACATAGCCAGTGTTTTCTAATGTATTTCCATGCCATTTATGCATGAATTTGAATGCCGTCTACTATTTTGCACCTTTCATTCCAATGTGCTTTTTCTACCACAAATGGAAAATACACCTATTAGTCAGTCACAAAGTCTGAGATTTTGCTGTATGTGAGCTGATCAATAGGGACAGCAGAGATCAGCGCCACAACATTACACTGCCACCTCCATGCTTCAGAGTTGAGAGTGTTCTCTGACTGACTTTTTCTTTCAAATATGACATGTCAATAAGCCTTTGTCCTGCAGGTCTTTTACGAATTGCATCTGAATGAATACAATAACTGAAAAATCCAAACCAATACAATAACTGTCGAATATATAAATATTTGTATTACACTAATGCTTTTTAGCAGGTACAGTCCCTCTGTACCTTTCAACATTTCGCCACATTTCAGGCTTCATAAAGATATAAAATTTCAATTTTTTTGTCATGAATCAACAACAAGTGGGACACAATCGTGGAACGAAATTTATTGGATAATTTCAACTTTTTTAACAAATAAACTCAAAAGTGGGGCGTGTAATATTATTTGGCCCCTTTACTTTCAGTGCAGAAAACTCACTCCAGAAGTTCAGTGAGGATCTTTGAATGATCCAATGTTGTCCTAAATGACTGATGATGATAAATAGAATGCACCTGTGTGTAATCAAGTCTCCGTATAAATGCACCTGCTCTTTGATAGTCTCAGGGTTCTGTTTAAAGCGCAGAGAGAACCATGAAGACAAAAGAACACACCAGGCAAGTCCGAGATACTGTTGTGGAGAAGTTTAAAGCCGGATTTGGATACAAAAAGATTTCCCGAGCTTTAAACATCTCAAGGAGCACGGTGCAAGCAATTATATTGAAATGGAAGGAGTATCAGACCACTGCAAATCTACCAAGACCCGGCCATCCCTCCAAACTTTCATCTCAAACAAGGAGAACACTGATCAGAGATGCAGTCAAGAGGCCCATGATCACTCTGGATGAACTGCAGATAACTACAGCTGAGGTGGGAGAGTCTGTCCATAGGACAACAATCAGTCGTGCACTGCAAAAATCTGGCCTTTATGGAAGAGTGGCAAGAAGAAAGCCATTTCTCAAAGATATCCATAAAAAGTCTTGTTTAAAGTTTGCCACAAGCCACCTGGGAGACACACCAAACATGTGGAAGAAGGTGCTCTGGTCAGATGAAACCAAAATCGAACTTTTTGGCCACAATGCAAAACGATATGTTTGGCGCAAAAGCAACACAGCTCATCACCCTGAACACGCCATCCCCACTGTCAAACATGGTGGTGGCAGCATCATGCTTTGGGCCTGCTTTTCTTCAGCAGGGACAGGGAAGATGGCTAAAATTGATGGGAAGATGGATGGAGCCAAATACAGGACCATTCTGGAAGAGAACCTGTTGGAGTCTGCAAAAGACCTGAGACTGGGACGGAGATTTATCTTCCAACAGGACAATGATCCAAAACAAAGCCAAATCTACAATGGAATGGTTCACAAATAGACGTATCCAGGTGTTAGAATAGCCAAGTCAAAGTCCAGACCTGAATCCAATCGAGAATCTGTGGAAAGAGCTGAAGACTGCTGTTCACAAACGCTCTCCATCCAACCTCACTGAGCTCGAGCTGTTTTGCAAGGAAGAATGGGAAAGAATTCCAGTCTCTCGATGTGCAAAACTGATAGAGACATACCCCAAGCGACTTGCAGCTGTAATTGCAGCAAAAGGTGGCGCTACAAAGTATAAGCGCAAGGGGCCGAATAATATTGCCTGCCTCACTTTTCAGGATTTTTTTGTTAAAAAAGTTTAAATAATCCAATACATTTTGTTCCACTTCACGATTGTGTCCCACTTGTTGATTCTTGACAAAAAAATATTTTTTATATCTTTATGTTTGAAGCCTGAAATGTGGCAAAATGTTGAAAGGTTCAAAGGGGCCGAATACTTTCGCAAGGCACTGTATATGGAAACTTCAGATTTTCACTGTATGTATGGCTTATCCAGGAAAGGCATATCATGTATGGAAGGAAACTTTTGAAAGAAAAGTGCATTAATTACAACTAGATGATATAAAGTTGTAAAGTTGATAGATAAATATTATAACAAATATACATAATTTTAAGGAATAATTAAGCAGTGTACACCAGAGACATTGAAGCAGCTACAAAACCAACATGTTTGTAGATTATTCAATGTTTTAGATAACATCTGGGATCTGGACACCAGAAAAAAGAAGGTGAAGATGGCCCAGCAACGCAACATTAAACTGTGGAGCATAAACACAGGTATATATTGGTGTCTATATTCATTAGGATATTGTATAAACATTGGGATGAGACTGATATTGTTTTTTTAATTCCAAGGTTATTATATTGTTTTTGGTGTATTGTGACATGCAATGATGCCCAAGCAGATATATACAATTATCTATTGAAAGTTGAATCTCTAATACAAATGTTACATGGTATAAGATTGCCCACCCCTTTTCCCTCAAAAAAAAAAAGTGGATATTTACGCGAACAAAACAAATGACCTGGCCAAATCTTGTAAACAAACTCTTTACTTTCTTTATGAAAAAAAAAAACGGCAACAGTGAAGCACCTGTCACAGACGATCACAGTGACGTACGGCTCCGAGATCAAGTTGTTTGGGACACAGTTACATTCAGAGATCGTCATGCCCCGGACCAGACAGCAGCAGATGAAATGACACACGGAGCAGACTCTCTTTGAAACCATTTGACCTGTACGGGCCAATCTTGCCCAAGTCGCGGTCATTATATACTATGGGGCTCTAATGGAAATGTACATCATCATCTCCTTCCTCGTAAAATAATGATAATCAAAACTAACAGAAATGTCTCCATCCCATCATATAGAAAAAAGTCCCAGATAGCTGGACAGCTGGACTGGTGGTCAATATAGCACATAACATATAAGTAGTATGTAAAAAATCTATTGTATTTAAGTGCATTTATCAATTCTCAGAAACCTAAAATTGGGTTTCATTGTAATAATTATAAAATCTTAAATTCACAACAAAAACAAAATTCTTTTTGAGCACAACATGAGCCAGAAAGCCCGAAGACCAATAAGAACAGAACTGGCAGGTCCAGCATGAGAGTGATCATACACTTCTTCTCTTTTCTCACTTTGCTCGCCTGTGATCCGTTTCTACCACTTGCTTTTCAGGCTTTAATTTTCACTCTCAGCTTAGGTAAATCTCAAAGCTTCTCTCCATACCTTCAATTACTTTTTTAAAGCTGCAAATTGAACTTTTTCATCCAACTCAAATTGTACAAACTAAACTCAATCATCCTGAAGAATCACTTGCCCTCACCCACTCTGGCTGCCCGCCCCCTGTTTCCAGGCAACCGCATTCTATAACCACATTCTGGAATCGTTGCTCGTCTAATCAGTCCAATGAGAAGCCGCAGTGATGACGTAGTTGTGTTCTCAAACATGGCTCGTTTAAAATAATAGCACAATGAGGTTGCTATAGATGCGGCGCGACAGGGTGAAGGGGTTTGGGGCGATTTGATGCTGGATTCGACAGACTGTGTGTGCGTTAAATAACAGGCGATGCGAGGGCATTTCGGACTAAATAATGCAGAGAAGTTATCTAACACATGGATAAAACACGCAAGAGCAAAAGTAGGGCACATGGAGGAGCATGGAACAGCGAGTGGCTACAAACAAAGTGTGGTTTGAAAAGCATGGGCTATATACTGGTCAGAACGGCTGCTGAGGACGTGTGTTGTAATGTTTAAGAGGTATTGCATGCCTACGTGATGGGTGAGCAAAAGGATAAAATATATATGAATAGTTCAAAATAAACTTCTGAATCCAGGACCAGAGGGGATATTATAATGGACTACAGCAAGTTTATCATCTATGTGGAGCAATATAGACACTTTCCAAATTAATAAAATAAAGAGCAGCACAAGCAGTAGTATGCAAACATTGCAAGGTGGAGCTCAGATACCATAATAGTAGTGATGAGTGAATTAAGCCCCGTAACACACTGAGGATATCCTGCCCGACTGCTTCAAATGTGTTGAAGCCTCTGCGCTAGCTCAGACTAGGTTGTAACACTGACATCTAGCGGGGAAATGTGGTTGGTTCATTGTTCCAAATGTTTTAATATCAAACTGTTTTTCTAACTATAGAATCATAACAAAGTAAGTATAAAATACTGTATATTCTAGCACAAGAAATCCTGTCATATGATAATGTACATGTATAATTAAGCAAAAATATGATTTATTCGATTATTCAATCATATTCAATAGAATACTTGATTACTAAAATATTTGTTAGCTGCAGCTCTTGTGTCGCTCAGTCTGAAAGGAACAGGATTCTCCCTCGTTTTTTTTAATGGACGAGGATGGGAAAATATTGGAAAGATTACCTGGTGAAAAGAACTTCTTTGTTCATTGTTCTTTTTAAAGATTTAAAGATAGTTTCCATATTGCAACAGTGGGTGGAACTGTGCCATTGCTCTCTGCCAAAAGAAATTTGCTAAATATTGAGTTATTTCTTAATCTATGAAATCTAGACGATAATTGATGTCTTTTCTTGCAGAGGGTATGACTGTTATATGACGGTGCTTGTCTCTCTACCCGGGCATGGCAGGATAAGCAGGATCTGTGCTTTTTAAGGGGTAGTCTGACATGTCAGCTTTGGTGTTGAGGAATCAAAAGTGAGACCTGATAAAGAAAGAGAGCTGCATCCCATTAAAAAAAAAAAAAAAATCTACAAAAATATATAATGCATCAAATGTCCAATGCACACATGTCTTCAGTCTGTGTTCCCAAAGCTATCACAAGGTAAGAATCTTATATAATATTACAAATCAGGTCAACTTAAGTGATTTTCCCATAGCTGTTTTTATTCTACCATTCAATAAGTTTGATGTAATCACACTGAGCACATCCAAGAGAAAAATCTATCACCGAGAAATGTTTTATTGTTTGGCGCCAATGTGGGAAGACTGCCAGTTAAAGAGCTTCCAGTTTCATGCAGCACTGGAAGTATTTCACACGCATGAAAAGAACTTGCAATGTGTGAGTCTCGAATGAGGTGTACGCTACATGGTGATAACTGATGATGAAAACATGAAAAGAAGAATCTCTGCATTTTCACTGACCTTTCTGTATGAACATCCCCGAGTTTAGGAGAGTCGAGAGATGAATAATTTGCATAGAAACTAGCCTCCAAACGAGATGTGATATTCATGATTCAGGTTCTGTAATGATCTGAGCCTGTACAAACAGCCAGCTCTCTGTTGTTTACCCAGTACACATGTTTGTATAGAGCTCAAGCTAGAGACACGTTCCATTAAGGTGCATTATGAAACTTTAGATGAAAAATGACATTTGGCCTTTTGTTCTCTAAGATGCTGCAAGATAAACTGTTCAGAAAGTTTCCTCTTCTGACAGACCCCGCACCAGAAAACCTACAAACAACTGAACCTGAAGCACTGTAGACAAAACCATGATCAAAAGGGTCAAGGTCAAAAACAAACAATAAGTAAGAAAGTGGGTAATCTTTATTTATACTGTATACCGCCTTTCGCAGACCAGAGTCATAAAGCGGTTTACAGTTAATTTGGGTATTTGTCTCTCACTCCACAAAGAGATGGGAGCGAGGTCGCCAGTATAGGAGGCACATGCCAGACCTATTGTACATGTTTATAGTGATAGGGTAAACCGGAGATCCCGGAGGAAACCTACGCAGACACGGGGAGAACATGCAAACTCCGCTCAGATCCTGTACCGACCAGGATTCGAACCCAGGACCTTATTGCTGAGAAGCGAGAGTGATAGCCACTCAGCCACCATGCAGCCCAATACATGAATAAATATATAAATAAATATGCACTTTCTTTATCCCCACTGTCAGGAGCATTGGTCGCCATAGTGCAGCGCCCAGGGACCCAAATGTTGATGCACTCCAAGCCGAGGACTACCAGAGCTGGAGGATTTAGCTATTGTGCATGTGTTAGTGCACTATAGGTAAATCACTTTAAGACTTTTTTGTCACATAAAAAGTAACATAATGCACCTTTAACGAAAACATAACATGCTTCCAACTGCTAAAGTGATAATCCATGACACCGTAGACGTTTGTCAGTATATAGGAGTCTATTGAAATATTGATAAAAACCAAAAAGGAAATGTGTCCACACACTCCTGCTGCATCAGGTGACCAAAGGTGCAACCAGTTGGCAATCGTATCAGATTCTGAAGAAAAAAGTGGGCCTATTGCATCATGGCAGTGGTCGGAGAAGACAGGGAGGAGAAATTATACAATTTTTTTTTTAAAAAAGCCTGAAGGTCGTGGGTTTGAGCCCACCAAAAGACCTGCTTCATAACTCCCACTGATGACTGCGGTCGTTGTGTCCTTGAGCAAGACACTTAACCCCACTTTGCCTGAAGCTCCCGCTGAAAGATCTCAGCTCCTGTGGACTCACCCCCTGCAGGAGGATCAGTGAGGGGCTGGTGCTATGTGTGCAGCTGTGACTGCCCAACCCAGAAATGGATTAAGGGGAAGAAAATGGATGGATGGATCGCTCAAGTTTGTATAGCATAAGTACCTTGACGTCCCAGTCTTTGTTCAGGTAGTATATGCAGGTGACACAGCGTCCGTCTCCGTTGGGATTGTCCACATGGCGAACATACCCTGTGCCGTTTCCCGGGTAACATGCAACCATCGCCTGGAACAGAAACATATAACGTTATTAATGACATGGTCGCACAATCTACACACATAATAAACTGTATTAGCAGTTTACATAGAAAAGATTGTCTTTAAAATGTCTTTATGTATGGAATTTTAACAAACTTAGAGTCTTGCTTCTTGGGTTTTGCTTCACACATGGGTACCCGAAGCTGGTAAACAAACAAACACAGAAATGCTTATGTAGTACAGTATAATTACATTTATTGTGTAACTGATGTATTTAATTGTGTGAACTCCGGGGTTGAGAAGGATTGCTCTCTAAGCTTAAAATTTGAATTATTTGTGTTGGTATTTTTTAGCGGCCAAATCTTGTAAAGTAGCAGTGTCTTGTGGCAGAACATTGCACAGGTCCAGTTTACAGAAAAGGAAGCAACTTATATGTTATTATTGACAAATGACAAGGGGAAAGCAACAATTAAGAAGTTCTGGTGCAGTCCGGCCATAAATGTGTCACTATACCACTTACATTCCAAAACATTCCAATCCAACCAAAAAATATATGATACATAATATTGTTGTTTGTACATCAATGTATTGAAGATTGTGCAGGAGCATGGAACTGTCCTTTCTGCTATGATTTCTGGCTGCAGCAGACAGTTTTGGCACATCCACACTCTATTGTTTGGTGAGAAGATCACCTGACAAGAGCTGTTTGCAAAACCGCAGTCCCACTATAAACTTTAAACTACAAAGGGAATATACCGGATCTATCGCGCAGCACGTCCACTTCCCATCACCCTTTCCTGCCTGTGAAAACTGCATGATCACTGGTGTTGGCACTGGACCCCTATGTGCTCCTGTAAACCTCTGAATAAACAGCTCTCTGATCCCCCCGGAGGACGGGAGGCACAAGTGAGGACAAGCACAGAGCCTCAGGGACTCGCAAAGACACAAACGATCGCAATTTTATCAACCGACACTCGCCTAGTGCTGTTGCTGTGCCTTCAGGCACAAGCTCAAGTGTTCAAGCCCTCACATAAGTTGAGCTGGGAGAGAGAGAGAAAAAAAATAAACCACCATCAACATTAGAAACTTCTACATTACCCACACCAGTTTAAGGCTGCATGATTGTGGCAAAATATCCAATTCCAATATATTTGACCAACATTGCCATTGTTACACAATTTTGGTTGTTCTGTATTTTTTTAAAGTTTCTTTTTTTGTATATGTGGTCAACTTCTAACCTATGAAACAACCATTTACAAAAATAGTATTCACTGCAAGCATTATTGCATCAGAGTTGTGAATCATATTTTTACAGTTTATATAAATATTGAGATTCCTCATTTGGAAAAAATAAGGCATTTGCCTGACAGCAAAGCAAAAGATACTTCCTTGTTCTATTGACAAATATTTAAAATATACCATACTTTCTGGACTATAAGGTGCACCTGTATATAAACCGCAACACAGCAGATAATCGAGGTGTTTAACAGCTTAAAGTAGTACTAGAATTTAATATGCTGCTATCCAGAATATATAACTACAATATGTGTTTATAATATTTCGGGTGTTCATTTTGATATGTTCAGATGAATTATGTTAAAAAAACTGCTTTGAAGTCGGACCTTTTCACAAACGCTAGGGGGAGCCAAAATGGCGGCGATGACGTAGGAGAAGGGTATCTCACAGCAGCAGCAGCAGTCTTAGCTGGAATCTGTAGGAGGTTTCACTGTCATCTGAACAAGGTATAAACATATTTTCATCCGTTTTGTACATAATAGTGTGCAACTCTTTTAACCTTTTAGCCTTATTTGTGAGATTCAAGCAAACTAGTGTTGGGCAAGTTAGCTAACTCTACTTGATATCATAAAACATGCTAACAAGGCTAATATTCGTTTTTACATTATGCCAGTCTCACTTTGGTTGCTTTAGATTTATTTACCACAATGTACATTGTAATATCCATAAATGCTAATCAAAATAACTTGAATTAAATAAATATTTTACTTTTATGAACAAAAAGCTGCAGAAGTTGAAAACATAGACTACATGTGATGCAATCATTGATAAAAATGCTAATTAAACCGTTAATAGGTGTTAGCATTTATGGATATTACAATGTACATTGTGGTAAATAAATCTAAGGCAACCAAAGTGAGACTGGCATAATGTAAAAACGAATATTAGCCTTGTAAGCATGTTTTATGATATCAAGTAGAGTTAGCTAACTTGCCCAACACTAATTAGCTTGAATCTCACAAATAAGGCTAAAAGGTTAAAAGAGTTGCACACTATTATGTACAAAACGGATGAAAATATGTTTATACCTTGTTCAGATGACAGTGAAACCTCCTACAGATTCAGCCCAGAATCTATGCGGAAGTGAAAAGGTGCCACTTCAAAGCAGTTTTTTTTAACATAATTCATCTGAACATGTCAAAATGAACACCCGAAATATTATAAACACATATTGTAGTTATATATTCTGGATAGCAGCATATTAAATTCTAGTACTACTTTAAATGTTAGCTTCCATGCCTGTACCCATTCACTAAATGTGTCTAAATTTGACAATAAACAAGTGTCTGATAGCTACAAAAACTTGGAGTCAAAATAATAAATCCGTAAATCAAAGTAGTTAGAAATTTACATAGTTAGACATTTTTGAGGGTGCGCGGCAGGCTACGTAAGGGCCTTACGTTGCGCCACCGTAAGCTCCGTAACTACACACTAGGCTTTAAAGAATGAACATTCGAAAATTTTCTCTAAAAAGGGCGTTGCCTGGAGGACCAAGGGACAAGGGGGGCTTAGAGTTGGGCGTGGTCTGGGCTGCTCACAGCTCACTAGTTAAAAAAAAAAAAAAGACAGACAGTTGTCATTGCTGCTTAAAGCAATAGTTTACACACCAGAAAGTCTCATTCCACCCTTGTTTACACACCAAGATAATTGTAGAGCTACACACCTGAACCTAAGTCACTGAATTATCTCAGCAAAAGTGGCTGTCAACTCATGTAATTTAATTTTAATCCACTAGATGTCACCAGAATACTCCAACCGGCTGCTGGGGCGTGTGAGAGTTGAATGGGTTTATATCACTGGCGCAGACAGACGCACGTCACACACACCAACTGACGTCACACAGAATTACAGAGTCAATGGAGAGGCCAGGACCAAATTCAAATGTAGTAGCACTGAAAAGGTTAAGAGGGCGTCACACAGACGTTTTTAAGCTCAAAAGTGAGATTTTACCTAAATTGCACTGAAATGTCAAAAAAATTACCAGGATATGTAGAGAACACTACAACATATTTATGCAGTCTAAGAGTTAAAAAAATAGTTGATTTGGTGTTTAGTTGTTCTTTAAATAACTGATTTGCTAACTGAGACAACAAAAATTACCATTTTGAATCCATTGCTATTAATTGTGCAGCAGTTATATCAATATTGCATGCTAACTGTGCAGTACATGAAATACACATAAAGCAGTCATGTTTAACCACTGCAAATACATAATTATGTGACCAGAAGATAAAGGCAAGAAGGGGCATAATATTTGTCCAACATTCTGGAGGTGGTTATGGTATAAATAGTTATTAGAATCAAAATAATCAAAGTCAATGATATCATTTTTTTTTTATTATTTGAATGTGCCTTTTCTAACACTGTTCGTAAACAAGCATTATATGTCATGTAGCATTTTGGTTGGCAACAAGAATTGTTATAGCCCATCACAAAAACACCCTTGTGCGTCATTACGAAACACATACAAAAACCCCTTTCAAATAATGCGTGCCAATATTTGACATTGCGTGACAATGTTTTTTTTCACCAAATTAAATTGGACGTCCTCTATAATCTGACCGTGGTTGCTTGCGTCAGTCCACATTGTGTTGGTGATGCAGGTTACCACTGGAATGCACAGTATCAGGGCAATATACGTATGACAGAGGGAGGACATGCAGGGGCAAGGAGGGGGGCTCTACTCAGAGCTTCAGGGGCGAGGAAGGGGGACGTGGAAATAAACAGACGCTCAGTTTCCAGGTGGGAGGATAAATAAAAATCTGGTGTCAAAGTAGCGGAGCGGCAAACAAAGAGCAGTGTTTCTCAAGCTGTGGGTTGTGTATCAAAAAATGGGATTCAAATTCATACTGGCAGTCATGGGTGGACTGGCCATGGGCGTACCGGGCAATGCCCGAAGGGCCGATGCCCATATTTGGGCCTGTGAGCCTCATAGAAAAAGATATTTTTGAGAAATGTGTAAATCTGTTAAGAAATGTTTGAGAGGGGCGCGGATGACCGCGGGGCTCTTGCTGTCGATTGCTGTATGAACTCAAACGGGATTCCACATCCTCTGCAGCCTTTTGGAGCAGCTGCGGCCGCTTGTGAGCCGCTCTGACAACACGGCAGCCGTAACGTGGCCATGTACCCTAGACCTTATACACCCACAGCCACAGGACCACATTGTGCCTGTTGTGTGCGTAACTTTGCGTAACCAGTTCACGCAATAAATACAGTGCTGCAAGAAACAGTCCGCGTCCACGCACAACCAACAGTTCATGTTGGTTGCACCCAAAAGTAAAATGTTGTGAACAAATCAAACAGATTTAATGACAGCCATTGGCTTACATTATACATTTCAGACTTCTGGTCCCTCATCCCTGTAACAAAACAATATGGTGCTATGTCCGTCTCTCTCACTCTGTAGTGACATGTTTATTCATCTCAATTTAGATCATTGCACTTTATTATAATTGCTGAAACTGCATCCTGAGCCTCTAAAGTATGTGCTTCCGCATACCGTAAAAATAACCGTAAAACAAATTAAAAAACACATGAAAAACGGAAAAGGCCGGGCCGTCAAGGAGGCAAAAATGCCCGGACCGTTTATTGGTTCCAGTTAGAGCTGAAACTAACGATTATTTTGTAATCGATTAATCTATCGATTATTTTTACGATTAATCGAGTAATCGCTTGGCTGTGAATTGTGTAGAAAAAAAATATTTTTTCATCACAAAAAGCTAAAGTGGCAAC